GATATGGCTGCCAACCGATGTCAGTGGCGTTCTTGTTGTCAGTTTCTATCCAGATTGCCTGAGTGAATATCTGGAGGTGTGGGCACCTCGGAATGATTGTGGTAAGCTAGCACTAAGTCCCTCCCCCGTCCACCTTTACTTTTTTCTTTACAATAAGGCTTTCAAATAAATCATGGTTGTACGGCAGTGAAGCATCGGCTTTGAACACTGATGTCATGCTGTCAATGATGATGATGATGATGATCACCTATAACACCGCCCCGGTGCCTAGTTACCATGCTACCTGAAAGGATGAGGGCTGAGATACTGCCAGGCTGCCCAAGCCTACACAGGATCAGTCCAGATGAAGATCCAAGCATAAGGATATAGTGCTCTTACACAAATCAAGGTAGGGAGTTTAAGATATGGGCTTCGAACTAACAAAACGTGAGTTTTCTAACTTGAACTTGAAATTTCAAAAGGTCTTCTAGGTGTCCCAGTGGATTTCAGCCTCGAATCAGCCGAACTTGTGCCATTGGACAACTGTCCGTAAACGGGGACGATTCACTTGTCAGTTATTATCAGATAGATTGATGGTGGTGTGAGGATACTTAGTAGTTTATTTCAATCGAGATTTCCTCCTGTCAATCACGTCGATCCATACTGAAAAACCGAGAAGCACTGCAGGGCTGTTTCATCCTTATCGAGGAATCAGAAGCAATGAGGATTTCTCGATTAGTAAAGGAAACTCGGGCCCGGGATCTCCGGGCTAGTAGTTTACACGCCTAACCGTTCGGCCACTCACGGTTGATCAGCACTGTGATTAACCCGCACTTGTTCAGTATATGGCGACACTCGTCTTTAAACGGCATAACTTGGTTACGTACTGACAGGCTCATCGGGTGACGACCTATCAGATGCGAGTTTCACGCGTCTTGTGAAAGTATTCTTCCTCCGAGCTATTTATAGACCAATGGTAAAAAGAGATTTGGTAAACGTTTTAATCGCTATTTAAAAAGACCTAATAAACTAGGGAAACTGACACCACCAGAGCACCTACCAGGAGCAGACGTCGGATGAGCTTTCTCGCCTGCGGCAGTCGGCTTCTTTGCTATCTGCTTTCGAGTAGGACGAGTTGTGGCGACAAGAAAACGCCGCACGAATAGGTAAGAAACGACCAGGCAGCAAAACAGCAGAGCCCAACAAGCCGCATAAATACCAAGGCGCCCATATTCCGTGGCAAACTGTAACATCGGGTAGGGGTAGATTTTGTGCGTGCGGATCAAATGTTCTGCGCTAAAAAGGAAGGATAAAATTATCACGACGGTGAGATCATTTACAAAACCACACCCTTCAACTGTAAAACGAGTTAGATACAGCACAAGTGCAAGGTGGATGTTGATTCCGCCTGCAAATCAACGGTGACCAGACCAGCCTTTCCTTGTTTCCTGACTACTCATGAGTAACGTGACTCGCATCTGTTTATTATGACACCGTTTCGTTTCTTTGCTCGTTTTCCCCTGTCTCGTCCCGGCTTAAGGTCTGCTTATGCCTCAGTAACTGATGTCAATACTTAATTTGCCCGTCCGTCATTGCTTGCAAGTTCGTCTGGATTGCACCTATTCACGAGCGTCCACTCCGACCGGGTATCGAACCCAGAGTCTGCGGACAGCAGGCGAACGCGTCACCGACTACACCAATCGGACA